CGCAGCAGACTCCACCCCGTGCAGTGTCGCCCAGGCCTGGAGAGGAGCAGCCGTCCTGCATCCGGCCTCACGCGGGGCAAGGGTGCTGAGGCTCCAGGAGGCTGTGGCATGCTGGGGTCTGGCCGCTGGATGGCGTCCGAGCATCCCCACTCCCCCCCACAGTTCTGTCCCCGTCGCATGCCCTGGTGTGGAGGGCTGGCTTTCCATTAGCATATGGCAGAGCCGGGCAGTTACGCCAGCAGCGGAGGTGGTCCCAGCCCACAGGGACGGCCGTGGTGCGTAGGTTTTCTGGGGAAGGGGCTGCAATGTAGTGTAGGATGGAGGGGACAAAGCTTGTGAAGATGCTGAGTACAGCGGGGAGCTCAGACAGTGGGACAGAGGCCTCAGGGCCCTAGGGGGCCCTGGGGTGGGTGGCAGCCCGGCCTGGAGTTGCATTCTCAGGGGCTCCCAGACCTGGTCACTCCTCCAGAGCCTGGCGGCCTCCTTCCCCCTCCCCCCTTATCCCCTGAGCAGCTGCCTCAATACACCCAGTCTCGTCTCCGTCCCTGCACTGGCCAGACCCTCCTCCTTCAGTCCTGCTGTCCCCTCCCCGGCACATGCCTTCTAAGGTGCGTAAATCAAAGCCCCTCCCCGACCCCTGCAGAGTCAAGTTCAACCTCCTTTCCACGAGCTCGAGACCTGGCCACGGATCACTCCAGCCTCATTCCCTAACACCCCCAGGTCCTCTGCGACAGCCCCACACCCCTGCTCACCAGGAACCGCTCCCGCTCTGTCCACACCCTGTGGGCGTGGGGTGGGGTTGGGTCCCTCCTGGCCTTTGCTCATGCTGGTCCCTCTGCCTGGGGCACCTCCCCTGGCTGATGCCCACTTGTCCTGGAGGGCCCAGTGCAGGCACCCTCTCCCAGGACGCCCGTCCTGCCCCTTCTGCCTGGCTCAACCTCTGCTGCAGGCACCACAGCCTCTGTGGGTTCCTATCTGCACCCGGCCATCTCAGTGGTGGGAAAAGCACAGCAGCATCATGGGGCAGACACTGGGGGTGACACGGAGCTCAGGGGGCTGAGGGTGGGAGTGTCCTCTCCACTGCTCCCTGGTGGTCCCTGCTGTGCTGTGGGACAAATGACAGCCCTCTGCTTTAAGCAGTCAGCGTGTGGAGGAGGGGACAGGATGGTTCTGTCGTTTCCACCTAAACTTCAAAATGCCCGTGCCCTTCCCCAGGGTGTTCCACCACCAGGGAGTTCTGGGCACTCGCCAACACCAGGGTTCAGATGGACAAGAACAGGCAAGGTGTCCATCCTCAAGGACCGGGGACAGAGTCACACCCAGCGGTCTTTCAGCTTAAGGCGGTGGGCTTAGGAAAGCACTGACCTGAGGGCGCATGCCTGGGGGGCACAGGCTTGGGGGACATAGGGTTGGGGGTGTACATTGCCTGGGGTGCAGACCTAGGGGTACAAACCTGGAGGGCACAGGCTTGTGAGGTGTAGACTTGGGGAGCACAGACCTGGGGGTGCAGACTTGGGGTGCACAGGCCTGGGAGCACAGGCAGGGCCAGCTGCTGGCCTGGAAGTCAGCTGGAGGGGCCCATCCCTGGAGGTCACTAAGTATGGGGCATCCCTGGTGGAGACAGGCCCTGCCTGGGAGTGAGAAGCCGAAGAGGAGGGAGGAAAGAAACCTGTGTTGGCACTGGGGGCCCCCATCCTATGGGTTCAAAACATGTGTGGAGGAGGTCTGGAAGACATGGCAGAATGTCTCACTCTACGTGGGTCCCTGCTTGCCGCTCTAGGGGACAGCTCGTGCATACCCCAGTGGGGCAGTGGGGTGGCTATGGTTCTCGGGAGGGTTGTGACAGTCAGTAAGCTGTCCTCCAGGAGGGGAGTGGCTCATAGTTGTGGTCCCACTGACAAAGTCAATAGAAACCGTGACTTTGTGGCCTCACACAGGCCTAGGACACCCGTCCTGTAGGTGTAGGTGCTCCGGGCCACACGTGGTCATGGACACAGCCACAGTCCTGTGCCTCACCCTCCCCTGCTTGTCCAGGGGACTCCAGCAGGGCAAATGCCCCCTTTGCTCTGGAGACTCAACAAGGTGGAGGGTGGCTTGCTCTTGAGGCTCTGGCCAGGACCAGGATGGCGGCTAGTGCATGCGGCTTCCCCTGGGACCCCCGGGGCCTGCCTACTTGCAGGTCTCCACGGGTTGCTGGGGTGTGGGATGAAGCCGAGCTAATGGAGCTGCTTGCGGGCGGCGGCTTGTGCTGGGCGCGGGGCTTTCGCTTCACCTCACCGCCGTCCCTCTGCTTTGTTCTGCAGTGAACTTTGACCACTTCCAGATCCTGCGGGCCATTGGGAAGGGCAGCTTCGGCAAGGTAAGGCGGAGCCTCTGCGGCATGCCAGAGGCCGTGGCGGGACTGTGGTGCTGGAAGGGTGCCCCCCGCAGCCCACCTGCTTGCTTTCTCTTCTGGGGAAGCCGGACCCCCTGGGTGGTGGGCTCCAGGTGTGTCGGGGAGGGTGTGGACGCTCCTCCCGCCGAGCAGGCCGCAGTGATGGGGCGTCAGGAGGGGCTGCCGGCCAAGCTCACGAACGCCTTTTAGTCCAGATCTGGGGGGTCTTGCAGCGCAGCAGGGAGCTGAGGGTGATGACGGCCCAGCCGCGGCAGGGACAGCCCTGACATCCACCCACTCTGACTAGTGAGGCCACTGTGATGGTCCATTTGTGTTGCAAACAAAATAGCCGAGACTGGGTGATTTATAAAGACAAGCGACAGTTATTGCTTGTAGCTTCTGAGACTGGGAAGTCCAAAGTCCATCTGGTAGTGGTGACAGTGACCCAGGGGTCTCACACTGCGAGATGGTGGAAGCAGAGAGAGAGAGAAAGACAGACTCTCCTCTCCTTTTAAAGCCCTCAGAGCCACGCCCCTGACCACCATTTTTAACCCATTCACTACTGCACGGTCCTACGATCCAATCACCTCTTCAAGGCTCCACCTTTCAATGACCGTAATAGGATTCCCCACCCTCTTAACAGTCACAGTGGGGGTAGGTTTCTAATACACGAAACTTGGGGCACACAATTCAAGCTTCAGGGAGTTTTGGGGGGACACAATGCAATCCACTACACCCACCTTGTGGCCCCGCGCTGAGGCCCACGTCCAAGAGCCACTGGGACCCTCCAAGGCTGTTGGTGACCAGAGTGGCAGCAGTGTGCTCATACCTGTTCCTTGAGGGCATGTGGGGGACACCACCATGCACGCAAGTGGCCACGTCCCCGTCCTCATCCTGGTCTCGGGTGGCCCTGCCTCCCCTGTACTCCAGATGGGCCTGCTTGGGCCCCAGTCCTGTACTTTCCTTCAGTTTTCTCTTGGCCAGATCTAACCTCCTGATTACCGACTGTGATGTCTGGAGATTGGGGGTAATTATAACTCAAAGAGGCTTAACCAGTGCTCTGAAAAGGTTGGAAGTAGCCCAGGCTTCTGTGCTGCGGCTCTGCTGGGGATGAATCACTTCTGCATGGACAGCTTCTTTGCAGTGTCCAGGGAGCTGCAGATGGGCTCGGCCCCTCCCTTGACTGCCCGCACAGCTGTCTGAACGCTGCGTCTGTCGAAGCTCCATCAGCCCTTCCCATGCTCTGCAACCCGAGCGCAGTACGTGGTGCGTTTGGATGCTGTAAGTTGCCTCCACTTCGTCGTGTCACAGACTGTGGCCCTGGGTCGTGGGGCCCGGGGTCATTGTAAGCCAGAGCCAGTGAATTCACTGAAAATGCTGTTAAGCACCAAGGAGGATCTGCATCTCTGGGTGTCAGGAGGTACGGCTGGGCCTGTGCTGCCCTGTAGCCTGGTGGACCATGAAAATGGTTGGCCTCGGGCATGAGGGCCTGAAGTTGGTGTAGTTTGTCAGAGACGCTGAAGGCCATGGGGATGGCCTCTGCCCCCCTGTTCTCCCAACCGAGTGTGAGCTCTGGTCCCCAGGGCCACAGAGGGTGCAAGCAAGCACCAGGGCAGGCACGATGGGGTTGGGATCCGCCCCCCGCTGGCAGCAGAAGACAGCAGCTGTGCCGGGTTCAAGAGGGGAGGCTCAGACAGGGAGACCCTGGGGTCACCACACATCCAGGAATCAGCCCCGAGGAGGGATGCTGGGAAGCCTGGGCTGGCGCCAGCGCGTCTAGAGAGGGCCAGGCTGGGACATCTGAGAGGCAAAGACCCGCCTGGGTGGGCGAGGCTGGTGGGTGCAGGTGCTGTTTCCTGGGGCCCTGCCTCCGCTGCGCACGCCCCTCCCCACCCTCTCCACCTCTGCCAGTCCCCACCCCACCAGTGTCTGCAGAGCCGCAGGATTCTGGCTCCTCTGAAAAGCCTGCCTGCCTGGAAGCAGGAGCTGCAGAGTGAGGTGCAGAGGAGCTGCTGGCCTCGTTTCAGAGGCGCGTTAGCCCACAATTGGAGGGTCCTGCTGCTCCCTAATTAGGGCACCTAATGAGGCCTCCAGGGGCCTCCGGGCTGCAGTTGCTGGGGGTGTCTGGGAATGTGGGGAGGGGAGGCCTGTCGCAGACCCAGCCCTGCCCCCCCTGCCCCCCCCCATGCTGCTTTCAGCCCCAGCGGGAAGGAATGAGGATCAGTGCGTGTGGCTGGGCCTGTGTGTGTCGGTGCCTAGATGGCCATGGCTCCACTGCTGCAGCAGCCACCGTTCCTGTTTCCCTGTGGGGGGGGCGCACCCCAGCACCACCACCAGAGAGCCTGGTGTTGCGAAGACGGTGGAGCGGGTGTGGACGCCTAGCCACCCAAGCCTGGCCGTGTTCAGGAACGGTGGCAGCGTCTGTTTCCAGCCCAATGGCACGTAGCTACGGCTGCCCAACCCTTTGGGGCCAGGGCTCTGGCAGATGGATTTCCAAACTTGTATCTGGTCCTTGGCTCTCGTTTTTGTTTTCAATTTTTTGAAGACTGTGATAAATTGCCCATAACAGAATTGACCCTCTTAGCCATTTTCAGTGCACAGTTCTGTGGCATTAAGCCCATTCACACTGTTGTGCAGCAGATCTCTAGGACGTTTTCTAGATCTTAGAACTGGAACTCTGTCCCCATTACCCACGAACTCTCACTTCCCCTCCCCCAGCCCTGGCAAGCACCACTGCACTTTCTGTCTCTATGAATTTGACTGCTCTAGGTCCCTCATCATCTTAATCTGTTCAGGCTGCTGCATCAAAAACCCTGCAGACAGGGTGGCTTCAACCACAAACATTTATTTCTCTCAGTTCTGGAGGCAGAGGAACAAGATCAAGCCAGATTCAGTGCCTGGTCCTTACACGTCAAAAGAGGCAGGAGAGCTCGGGGTCCCTTATAAAGACATGAATCCCATTCACAAGGGTCCCGCCTCATGACTCATCACCTCCCCACCCCTAATTCCATCACCTCGGGGGTGAGGATTTCAACGTATGAACTGGGGTGACACAGTCAGCCATTGCACTGAAGTGGAACCGCACAGTATTTGCTTCATGTGACCGCACAGTGTCCCCAAGGTTCACCGTGTTACAGTGTGTGTTAGAGTTCCCCTCCTTCTTAAGGCCGAATGATATTCCATGGTTTGTGTACACGGCATTGTGTTTATCTATTTGTTCTTTGACGGACACTTGGGTTGATCCACATTTTTGTGATTGTGAATGATGCTGCTGTGAACCTGGGTGTGCAGACATCTCTAAGAGCCCCTGTTTTAAATTCTTCCATCTGGAAGTGGGTGTTGGGAAAATAGAATGGTTCGATCAGGACCCTTGCCTCGGTTGGGTGTGGTTCAGCACATCCATTGTAAGCAAATTGTGTGTGTGTATGTGCATGTGTGCGCGTGTGTGCGTCCGTTTGTGTGTGCGCGCACGTGTGTGCGTGTGTGCGTGCGCGCGCGTGTGTACGTGTGTGCGTGCGTGTGTGCGCGCGCGCGTGTGCATGTGTGTGTGCGTGCGCGTGTGTGCGCACACGTGTGCGTGCATGTGTGTGCGCGTGTGTGCGTGCGTTTGTGCGTGCGTGTGTGTGCGTGGGTGTGTGCGTGGGTGCGTGCGCGTGTGCATGTGTGTGTGCATGTGCGTGTGTGTGCGTGTGTGTGTGCATGTGTGTGCGTGTGCGTGTGTGGAGTTAGCGTGCATGCGCACCGATGTATCTTTTTAGTTTTGTTGCTGTNCGTGCGTGTGTGCGTGCGTGTGTGCGTGCGTGTGTGTGCGTGGGTGTGTGCGTGGGTGCGTGCGCGTGTGCATGTGTGTGTGCATGTGTGTGCATGTGCGTGTGTGCGTGTGTGTGTGTGCATGTGTGTGTGTGTGCGTGTGTGGAGTTAGCGTGCATGCGCACCGATGTATCTTTTTAGTTTTGTTGCTGTTCTTGTGTTGTGCAGAGAATCTTGGGTGAGGCAGGCTGGCAGGCGTTTGCCTCGGGCATCCGCCACACTTGGCCATGCTTTCCAACCTGAGGCTTCCAAGGACCTTTTGGCCAGTTACCTAGCTCATAGACCTGTGTGTAAGGGGTCTGGAGACCCAGCCTCGTATGTGTGGGGTCTGGTGACCCAGCCTGGCGTGTTTAGGGTTTGTGACCCAGTCTGTGAATGGGCTTGAGGGGGTCTGTGAGCTCCAGACCCAGCCCTAGCTCAGCAATTGGCCCAGTCGGTGCAGGATTAGCAGCAGGTAAAAGAGCCCGACAACCAGTGTGGTCGTGCAGCTAGAGTATTGGTGTCACGAACAGGATTAAGAGCACGACAATTGGTGATGTCAACAGGATTCCGACATTAGCCAGAGCTCCACTAGCTCAGCAATTGGCCCAGTCGGTGCAGGATTAGCAGCAGGTAAAAGAGCCCGACAACCAGCGTGGTCGTGCAGCTAGAGTATTGGTGTCACGAACAGGATTAAGAGCACGACAATTGGTGATGTCGACAGGATTCCGACATTAGCCAGAGCTCCACAGTGGCATTGCTGGGTCGTATGGTAATTCTGTGTTCGACTTTTTGAGGAACCTGCAGCCTGTTCCCACCGCGGCTGCACCATTCCGCACTCCCAGCGGCAGGGCTAGGGCTCCGTTTCCCTCCATGTCCTCGTGGGCACGCGTCATGTCTCTCTTGGTTCTGGTTTTGATAGTAGCTGTTCCACTGGGGTTGAGGTGGTGTCTCATTGTGGTTTTGATTTGCATTTCCCTGATGGTCATGAAGACTGGTTTTTAAATCCTGTTGGCGAGAGTCTCATCTCTCAGGAGGAGCTGTTTGAGTGCAGGGCTCTGAGTCAGGTTGCCACGTGTCAGCTGAGAGGGGGCTGGGCCCTGCAGGTCTCCTGCCCAGGGGTCCCCTGCTCAGGGCAGCAGGCTCTGGTGGTGCCCCTGACTCAGGCTTTGGGACTTCTCGCCTGGGCTCCTCAC